CAGCTATTTTCAGTGAATTTTCAAAGGATCAAGTTCACCCTATAGCCTCTACTTGTGGCTTAAAATGTCAGAAGAAATCTGAAGAACCAGTCCACAAAAAATGGAGCCCAATGGATCAGTATTACAGCCTGGAGAAATAATTTTCATATTTTGTAAAAAGGACCCCAGACACCCTGTGACAGCTATGGAATGATGGTATGGTATGGTATGGAATGGTATGGAATGGTATGGTATGGAATGGAATGGTATGGTATGGTATGGAATGGAATGGAATGGTATGGTATGGTATGGAATGGAATGGAATGGTATGGTATGGAATGGAATGGTATGGAATGGTATGGTATGGTATGGTATGAGGTGGAATGGTATGTGGCATCCATACCATGGTATGATGGAATTGGTATGAGGGTCATACCACTCTGGAATGGGGTACCACTGAGGTTCCCTAATTCAAAGAATTGGATAACCCCATAGGTACCCAAAAATGGGTGACTGAAGTGGCCAAGCTGTCTCAGCTGTTATCCAAGCCAATGTCAAATAAAGTCACCTTGACTGAATGGTTAAATGCTGATGTACTTCAGCAGCTGATGGTCAGCTCCTGGGTTGAAGTCCCACAAGGTGATATCCTGCTTTTCATTAGTTGATCAACTTTTCCTATCATGACAGCTGAAAGCAAAACGATAGGCCATGCCAGATTGACACATATATAGGGCAAACTCTCAACTTTTATTGTGGTACTAGCATGACATCAACTTGGAGGTTGAAATTTAACACGTTGTGAGGACTCAGCAGCCCCAGCCATGACATCACTTTGAAATTTCGGGAGTCTGCCCTGAGCATGTTGATCTGCTGTGGCCTATCATTCTGCTTTCAGCTAGAAAGGCAAGGTTCTGACAGAGATCGGTATAGTAACCTGAGAACGGTCAAAAATGATTGCTGAAGCAAGTGCTCTTTCCACCCGGTCCAAGAAAGTTTCAATTGTATGTTGAGCAACCATGCCCAGGTGGGAAAGACATGGCCTTCATTTGATTTTCTTCCACTGTGCCCGGTTGCAAACTACATAGTGAACCAACTTCAGTATTGTAATCTAATCTTACTTGAACCCTGGTCCATCCCTTTTGTCCCTCCCCTTCCCCTTATCTGGGATAAATGGTCATAGTGCTTCTAAAGTAGCATCCATTGCTGCAATGAGATCATGGTCTGAATCAATTTGTTCACGCAACGGGTCTTTCTCCTGGCCAAAACATACTGATAATGGCTCATTGTTGCTATGCTCTCAGGCAGACATTTGAGTGCCTCTTGGTGAATTTCCCCATGATGCATAAGCTCCATCTGATCCATCTCGGTAAACTCATCACCCCTTGTCATCAATTTCTTGAAGGCAGCCTGCAAATTCCTAATTGAAGGGTTGGATGAAGCCTCTCCATGGCTCTTTACCACACTTTCCCAATTACCTGAACGACCTTGGCTACCACACCGGTGCAATCACCAATGCTATCATCAGACAGAACCTTGATATTGTATTTGTGACATAAACCCCTTGCATGTGGGGAGTTTGGATCCAAGTCCAACAATTCAGTCGAAGGTGGTGGGTGTGGTGTTATCCTCTCTTGAGTGTACACAAACACAGGGGCCGGGCCAAAAACGAAGGCATCACCTGGCCAAGTTGGCAGAATGGCAGCTCTTCCTTGGGCCTGGAGTTGTAATTTGCCCTCTTGTGATTTCGTCAGATGCTTCTGTGATCCCAGAGTACTAACAATCTGCTGTGTGTCTGGATGGTGGTTGGACCCCAAGGCACCAGGGGAAGACATGCCTGGTTTGTCAGAGGCAGGAGCTGGGGCAGACGTGCCAGGTGTTTGAAAATCAAAGATGGAATGCTGGGGTAAATGAAGTATGGACTTGTAAATCAAAAGGGGATCCTTTATTAGCCGAGGCTGGTGCAGGGTTGTCAGGCTTCTGGAAATTGAAAATGGATGGCTGATGAGCCAAGAACAGGGGAACAGGCAGCACATTCATTGAAGCGCCCACTTGTTGAAAATTGAAAATTGCTTCTGGAAATCGAAAATGGATGGCTGACAAGCTGAGGATGGGAGAACAGGCAGCACAGTCGTTGAAGTGCCCACTTGCTGAAAATCAAAAATTGATGGCTAACAAGCTGAGGCTGGGGATGCTGACTTTTTGAAACTCGAAAATGGATTGGTGAGCTGAGGCTGGGGTGAATGGGTTGGAACTTTCTTTGAAATCGAAAATGTATCTGTGACAGGGCAGTTAGTAGGAATCACCCACCAACACTGAGAGGCCTGACAATACAAACAGGCCATAGTTGATGGTGCCTGCTGATGGGCCGATGAGGGCCAATAACCCTGTGTTGATGAATTGGCCGATGTGATCCCACTATCAAGGTAAAGAAGGGTCGGCCAGCTACGTAGATTTAGCATACACCGATCAGTAGGAAGCTGCCTCGGGAAGTCAAGTCCCTGTATTTGTATATCGGCTGATAGCTAAGCTATGCAAGGTCAGCTGACAGTTTTGAACATTGTATTTGTATATCGGCTGATGGAAGATAGTTAAGCTATGCAAGGTCGGCTGACAGTTTTGAACATTGTATTTGTATATCGGCTGATGGAAGATAAGCTATGCAAGGTCGGCTGACAGTTGTGAACGTTGCTGGGTTGGTGATCGGCCAAGGGCCTTCACTTCTGATTAGCAGCTAGGCTATGCAAAGTCGGCAGACATTTTGAATTCGCCTGGGTTGGTGGTCGGCCGAGGGCCCTCAACTCTGGTTACCAGGGTCAGCTGGCGAGACCCACATGGTAGTCATGGTTCATGGATATCACCGAGTCGGCCGGACACGAGAATTTATGAACATCTCATCAGCCGATGCATCACTGAGGCCGGCATTTTCAAGCCGAATCGTTTTCAGCTTGGCCTTTAATTTAGCAGCCAAGCAGAGGCAGACCAGGCAGAACTTGCAGTTCAAATTTTCATGATCCGAGACAACATCGGTCAAACCAGCATTGATTAGTAAATTTTAACAAGAGTTGCAATAGGTGTAACTGACTTGTGGGATTTGAACCCAGGGCATACATACACGACATACCCTCGCAGCGTAACCACGAAGCCAAGCCAACATTGGAAGACGATCGCGGCCAGTATCTTTTACCTGCCTGCAATTTGAACCTGGGCGTCCAAGCTCGGCACTTTGTAAGTCACCCGTTCTCGGCATAAGACAACTAAGACAACTACCCGTTCTTGGGACTTTGGATGTTACAAGCCTTGGATTAGTAAATTTTAGCCAGCGTTACAAAAAGGCCGTCTTCGCTCTATGTGACTTCTGGGATTTGAACCCAGGGCATACATAGATACAATGCGTACACCTCCCACCTTGACCACTGAGCCAAGTCAATGATCCACCTGGCCTGAAAGCTCGGCACTTTGTAACTTACCCAGCGTAAGACAACTAACCTGGGTCTGCAAGCTCAGTAAGAATTGATTAGTAAATTTTAGCCAGAGTTACAAAAACAAAAGAGTTGCGATCGTTGCAAGTGACTTCTGGGATTCTAACCCAGGCATACATACACTCTGTACACCTCCAGCTTAACCACTAAGCCAAGCCAACGGTGGAAGACAATGTTGGTCGGTATCTTTTAACTGCTGACCATGTCATTCTAATAGCAGCAAGTAAAAAATTTGTTTAGGATTTAAACCGGCATACATAGGTCGGTCAGTATCTTTTACCTGCAGTAAGTAAAAAACTTTTCAAAACGCGAATCTATGACTTGTTCGGGATTTGAACCCAGGGCATACATACATATACTACGTACACCTCCCAGCTTAACTACTAGGCCAAGCCAACGTTGAAGACAATGTCGGTCAGTATCTTTTACCTGCCAACCATGTCACTCTAATAGCAGCAGTTAAAAGGACAAATTCTGTGCAGTGACTCCTTTCAATGTCTCTTTCCAGATGGCTGCAGTTACGTTTTTTCACGGGGGAAAATGGCAGAGAGGGAATAGTGGAGGAGGGAAAAGACCTCCTTCCATTTTTTATAACAAGCCTGTTGAAGTGAGGATTAGCGATGTTGCTGTGTGCTTTTCTTCCCATGTTTGTCTACTGTTGAAATGGCCAAAGGATATAATGATGATGTGTAGTGGGAACGAGGAAAATGTGGGTGTAGCGGGAAAGAGGAAAATGTGGCCGTCGAATAGCAAACGCAAACATTCATAACAGATTTGCATTTCCAGCTACGTAAAATAAAAAGTTGGCAGTAAGACTGGGATGAGCACACACCCAAGCCATAAAAGTCGGCCAGCAGGACTGGATAATAGTCAATTAGAAACACAATCTCATATTTCATACACTTCGCATACTCTTTAACGGCGGCTTCTTGTGAACTTTTAATTTTTATCACCTTCAATATGACTGCAAAATATCAAGATCTGTATGTCGCTGACAGCCTCATCATACATTGGTATAAAGGTAGCTTCAATATATACCACCATAACTGCGTTACCAGTTTAGTTACTTAGATGGACCGACGATAATTACAGACAGACATAATTACAGAGGAAGCTAATTAAGGTTTTGTCCTGTGATGCGATCATAACTGTTCCGCTATTTAAGCTATTTAAGGTTATTAAGGTCTGTTCTTTTCCGTTTCGTGTTCGATCTTCCGTGCCGATCGCGGGTCGTGACTCAAATGATGGGAAAATGAAGAAAAGGGAGAAAGACGTACTGCAGAGGCCGGCCGAGGAGTACAACAAGAAGGGAGTTGACCCGGAACTCAAGTCCAAGTAAGTTAATTTTCATTATTCTAACGTTGGCTTATCTGGACCTTTGATAGACTGGCTGTAAAGAACTGCACGGCTCGGATGCATGCATTTTCCAAGGAACTTTATGACACAATGGGTGTCCGGGTCTTTATCTTAGGATGTTATCTGAAGCCCGATGGTAATTTGGACGTCTCAACATACGACTTCAATCAAGAACTCGGGAATGGGAAAGACTTTATTGATAACCATAGCCGGACTTTCCATGAGGAAGGAATATCGGTATCTTCTTGGAGAGCACACAATGAAGAATACTATGGGTTGGAGGATCTTGCTTCGGCCGAAGGAGGACACTGATCCCGGGGTGCTATGACTTTGGAGAAGAACCTATACCTGGAACCTATTCTACCCGATCCATCGAAACCACCACTTAAAACTTCCCGTGATATTCGAATTTGGCGGCTGAATGTTCTTCATACATTTGTCAACCAGCACTATAGTAAGCCGGTCCCCAGAGATTTCTTGCCCTGTATCACTAAACATTTGTCTACTTAGATCTTGCAGCTGGGCAGAGTAAGGGATCGGCTCCTTGGACGGCTATTGGATCAAAGTTACTTGACTTCATTGATCTAGAATATATACCCCCGGCTTGGAGATCAGTAAATGGAGAAGGTAACAACTTTTACAAGTTTCTTGATCCCTCCAAATTCCCGATGGAAATGGTCACTGAAGCTCTCCAGTTTTGGTATGAACGTCAAGAACAACACAAAGTCGCCTTTCGATTTAAATCCTTTCTTGAGGGGAAAATGCTGCTGGAAGCACCTCCATGAAGGAAAATCAAAGTTCACGTTCCTAAACCTCATGTTCATAGTGTTGGGAAGGGCAAGAAGCCCAGCAGAAGCAAGGGTCAAAGGAGAGGCCGGGCAGCAACCGAGTCACCATCAGATGAGGAAGCCAGGCCAAAGAGAAAGGAAGGGGTGGAAGATCGGCAGTTCGATGACAACAGTTGGAAGGATTTGGATGTGGACAAGCCGGCCAAGAAACGAACCGAACAGTTTTCTAAGGATGACTGGACTCCTGATCGGGATGGCTCCGATGACGATGGAGAAGACTTGGACGTGGAGAAACCAACCAAGAAACCAACCAAACAGCATGACAAACATCGTGAGGATGGCTCCGATGATAGTGACTCAGACTCCAATAATGGTCAAGGGAGGCCAAAGCAGGATACTCTGACCGAGCCCACAGTGAAACCTAGCAGGGTCAACCCGACCTTGGAAGAGGATAGAGACTCGGGATCAGATTTGGGCTCAGATGATGCTACGATCACTGTAGATACCAGCCCCGAGCTTCAGCCTCGGTACAACGACACCCGGGCTCTCTCCCATGAAGTACCATCGGACACTGAGGTCTTGGCTGATGATACATTTTGGGAAGCTGACCTGGGCTGTGGGGTGGAGTCAGCTGATCGAGCGAAGAAGAGAAAATTCACTGATGAGGAGGATACACCCTGCAAGTTTCCTCGGTTAGAGAAGGGTTACAAACTTGGCCCGAGGAGTGCCCGACCAGGCAAAGTCAAATGCCGAGCTGCCTCAGCTGTTATCCAAGCCACTGTCAAACCAGCTCAAGCAACCAATCTGAGGTCAGACACAACCAAAGCTTCGAATAGCTTTGATTTCACTAAGTCAAGTGGTGTCAACGCAAAACGACCAGTCCCTTCAAAACAAAAGGAGTCAGAGGCCGGTCCCAGTCAGCAACCATCTATTGATGTCCCCACCAAGCCAAAACCAAAACCTCATCCTATCATGAAAGGCAAGGTTTCTACAGGGGAACTCGGTATAGTAACCCGAGAACGGTTGAAAAAGATTGCTGAAGAAAGTGTTCGTTCCACCCGGTCCAAGAAAGTTTCATTCGTCAGTTAAACCTATCATGTTTAATGATGTTAGTCATTCATGCCTGGGTGCGAAATACATAGCATGTTCAATGATGTTAGTCTGTGTCCGGTTTCAGCAGTGTCACTTTGTAGTTCATCATGTTTTCCTATCATGAAAGGCAAGGGTTGAAAAGGTGTTCGTTTGACTAATTGAGCTGGGAGGCTTGTCTTACGACCAATTAAATGTGAGCACTATCCGGCAGTGGGTATCTTCAACCATGCCCGGGTGCAAACTACATAGCGAACCAACCTCGGTCTTGTGATCTAATCTTCTACTTAAACCCTGGTCCATCCCTTTTGTCCCTCCCCTTCCCCTTGTCTGGGATCTCGTCTGGGATGAATGGCCATAGTCCTTCTAAAGTAGCGTCCATTGCTGCAACCAGATCACGGTCTGAATCGATTTGTTCACGCAACCTGTCTTTCTCCCTCCTCAAGGTGGCCAAAACATACCGATAATGGCTTGTTGTCGCTATGCTGTCAGGCAGGGATCTGAGCGCCTCCTGGTGAATTTATGACGAACCAGGTCCATATGATCCATCTCGGTAAACTCATCTCCCCTTGTCAACAATTTATCAAAGGCAGCCTGCAAATTCCTAATCGAAGGGTTGGATGAAGCCTCGGGGTCCATAGCTCTTTCCCACACTTTGCCAATTGCCTGAACGACCTCGGCTACCACGCCTGTGCGATCACCAATGCTGTCATCAGACACAACCTTGATATTGTACTTGCGACATAAACCCCTTGCACGTGGGGAGTTTGGATCCAAGTCCAACAATTCGGTCAAAGGTGGTGGGCGTGGTGTTGTCCTCTCTTGAGTGTAGACGAAGACAGGAGCCAGGCCGAAAACGAAGGCATCGCCTGGCCGAGTTGGCAGAATGGCAGCTCCTCCTTGGCCCTGGAGTCGTAATTTGGCCTCTTGTGATTTTGTCAGATACTTCCGTGATCCCAGAGTACTATTGGACCTTGAGGCGCCAGGGGAAGACATGCCTGGTTTGTCAGAGGCAGGAGCTGGAGCAGACGTGCCAGGTGTTTGAAAATCAATGGAAGGCTGAACAGCCAAGGCCGGGGTAAATGAACGATGGACTTGAAAATCGAAAGGGGATCCTTTATTAGCCGAGGCTGGTGCAGGGTTGTTAGGCTTTTGGAAATCGAAAATGGATGGCTGACGAGCCGAGGACGGGGGAACAGGCGGCACATTCGTTGAAGTGTCCACTTGCTGAAAATCAAAAATCGATGCCTGACGAGCCGAGGCTGGTGCAGGGATGTCAGGCTTTTGGAAATCGAAAATGGATGGCTGACGAGCCGAGGACGGGGGAACAGGCGGCACATTCGTTGAAGTGCCCACTTGCTGAAAATCAAAAATCGATGCCTGATGAGCCGAGGCTGGTGGAGATCTGCCAGGCTTCTGGAAATCGAAAATCGATGGCTGATGAGCCGAGGACGGGGAAACAGGCGGCACATTCGTTGAAGTGCCCACGTGCTGAAAATCGAACATTGATGCTTGATGAGCCGAGGTTGGGGCAAAAGCTGAAGTACCGACTTTCTTAAACTCGAAAATGGATTGGTGAGCTGAGGCTGGGGTGAATGGGTTGGAACTTAGAGCAGGGGTAGGTTCTTTGAAATCGAAAATGGATCTGTGAGGAGCCGAGGATGGGACGTCCACTTCCATCACTAGTTCGGATTCTTGGCTCTGTCCTATGGAGTGGTACCTACCACTTTTATGATAAAACCTGGGCATTTGCCTGCACAGTCTTTTCAATCCCCCCAAGTGAAATATGAAATGAAATGCCTAGGCTATTTCATTCTTGCTTTGCAGCTATTTCATTCCTACCCACCACATTTTTCATTTCTCCTTGGCAATGAAATGCATTTCATTCTTTTGCCTGTGCTTTTTCATAACTTTTTCATTCTTTGCCAACTTTATTTCTTTTCTTTTCATTCTTTGCCAGTATCATTTCATTCTTTTGCCTGCGCTTTTTCATAATTTTTTTTTCATTCTTTGCCAGTCCTATTTCATTCCATTGCCTGCACCTTTTCATAACTTATTATTTCATTGTTTGCCATGTTTAAGGTTAGGGTTGCACTTAAAAAAAATGAAACTCATTTCATTGCTTCTCTAAGCCTTTTCATAACTAGACACATTATTTGTTTGTAAATAATAAACATATGTATTCTCAAATTATTAGCTATAGTTTGACCTAATCAACCCCTGGCTTGTGATCTTTACATTTGTTTGTATTTGAGGCCATAATCTAACTTAATTGAGCAATAAACATGTAAATTGAGGCAACTAAAAGATCACATGTCTTATATTTTGATCCCATCATAACCAAACAAATACATAAGTTATGAAAAAGCACAGGCAAATGAATGAAATAAGACTGACAAAGAATGAAAAAAATTATGAAAAAGCGCAGGCAAAAGAATGAAATGATACTGGCAAAGAATGAAAAGAAAAGAAATAAAGTTGGCAAAGAATGAAAAAGTTATGAAAAAGCACAGGCAAAAGAATGAAATGCATTTCATTGCCAAGGAGAAATGAAAAATGTGGTGGGTAGGAATGAAATAGCTGCAAAGCAAGAATGAAATAGCCGAGGCATTTCATTTCATATTTCACTTGGGGGGATTGAAAAGACTGTGCAGGCAAATGCCCAGGTTTTATCATAAAAGTGGTAGGCACTAGTGTCCTATCGGCCACCCAGAATTTAGGTTTGGCTAGTTTTCTGTCACCAACTGGAACTCACCACTTGGTTGAAGAGGGGGTAGAGCCTCGGCCGTTCCTAAGATATGGTTAGAACTGCTCAGCCGACAAGAGTACATAAAACTTACCATCCTTCATTTCTTGGTCTTTCATCACAGCTTCTGTTTATCTACATTAAGTAGACAATCCTTGGTGTGGAGTAGGGACAATACCTGGATTTGTTAAAGACATATCAGTCAGAGAGTAGATAGCTTTTCCTGGGATTGCACTGTGTGGTTGGTGATGAAGACACATTGTTTTTCAACGGTGGGAAAGCAAGCCACTGCAGATCGGCCATGGAACATTCTGCGGATCTCGGTTGAACATTGTATGGATCTTGGTTGAAGTAACGCCACCACATGACCGCGTTTACAACTTCGTAATTTCACATTCACCATTGTCCCATTCCGACGCGCACATTCACCACCCTCAATCGTCCCATTCCCACTTACCATGTCCACTGCTGAACTTGCTCAAGCCGCTCAACAGGCCCATACCCTCACTCCCGGGTTCTTGGAGGATGTTAGGGTGGCCACCTCCACGCTTTTGAACTTTTACAACCGTCACAGGGAAGGTCTTCTGGCCCACCAACGGACGGTGGAAGAGGATGCATACGGGAAAGCTGTGAGTGACTAACAATGATTTGTTGACTGAAATTGGATCTCTTTCTCCTACAGGAACGATTTGTATGTTTGCTCATCGACAAGAATATGTGGTATAACACGGCCCAGTGGCTCAACCACCCTTGGATTTTGGCGTACACGGAAATGGCCCGAGCGGGACCATCGGTTGATTGGACCAAAATGTTCTCGATCCCACAACCCACCACCCCTACCTTCTTTATGGAAGGTTATGCCGGTCCCTCTCCCCCTTTACCTCCATCTTCGACCGATTCATTGCTCCCAGTCACAGTCCCAACTCCCCCATTGCCGGTACCGACAGCTTCATCATCGCTCCTGGCCCCAACAAAACCAACGCGTCAGGCAAAATCAACCGATCCTGTGCCAGCAGCTGAAACGAAGTCCAAGAGTAAGACAAAGTCTGGGCGAAGGAAACCCAAGGCCGGGTCCAGCGCCCAGCCACAATCAGAGGTGACTCCTAACAACACCGCTGCCCCAGTCCAAAGCAAAAAAAGAAAAGGGGACTCGATCGAAGCCAGGCCAAAGAAGACCAGAGTCGTGAGCGCGGAGTTCATCAACAGCAGCAGTGATGAGGAAACATTGAAGCCGAAGTCGGAGTCACTTCGACCGGTTGGTGGGGAAGCAAAGGCGGTTAAACCCAAGTCCCAGCCCCATTTCTCCCGCATGACACCCAGTGCCGGCTTCAGTCTCATCCAAAGGCCCAAGTTAGACCCCGACGCCAGTCCTCCCAAGACCGCCATGGCCGCTTTAAGGCAAGCCAAAACTGCCAAACGTCTTGCAAATCAGAATGCCGCGATTGCAAAAGGCAATTATCAGCTTGCGGATATCCCCTGTGAGGCCTGCAGCAAACGCCAAGATCGAGACATTGTTCCATGCGCTATCCATTCCCCCCCACAACAAGGATCCTGCTTCACCTGCAGTATGGGTAAGACGACCTGCACATATGCAGTAACCAAGAAAAAGGACACCGACAGTGAGGTCGAAGACGAGATCCAAAAGGGGTTGCAGGATCTTGAAACGGCCACAGTCTCCAGGGGAGATGCCCAAGTGAAGATTGTGAGGAAGAAAGCGAGGTCAAAGAAGCCGCAGGTGAAGAAGGTGAAGCCGGATGTCAAAGAGAAGGGCAAGGAGGATGTCGAAATGGCCGCAGTCGGGCATGATGTGGAGCATGCAATTGACGTGGACATGGAGGTTGGTCTGACAATGGGAAAGGGGAAGTCCGAGGGTGGTATCGACATAGAGATGGCCGAAGTCAAACATGAGGAAACCGAGGTCGGTGCCATTCCAAAAGCCGACAAAGATGTGGGCCGGGTGACTCCCACCATAATCATTGAGCCACCCACACCACACACATCAGCGATTTTCAAGAGCACTGAGACCGAGGTCGGTACCAACACTGACAAAGGAAAGGGCCGGGAGATTGGGCCGCCAGCCAGTGAGATGGAGTGGATCGTGCCCGAGTTAGCAATGCGGCCGGGTAAAAAATTCATGAAACTCATTATTCTTTGCTGACTTCGTTTATAGAATTGGGCTTGGCTGTCAATTATATCCAACAAAGCTTTACACCCCCACCTGTTGAGCGCACGTCCCGGCCAGAAGGTTCGCGTTTGGTATCCCGTTCTCGGCAGGTCAGCCCACCAGATCCCAAGGAGGTTCATCGTAAGTTTCAAGTTGTTTTCTCATTTCCCATGATTCTCAACTTGAAAACTTAGTTGACACGACACTCTATCAGAAGAAGATTGACTTTAGGTCCTTGAGCCCCCCACCGAACTTCGACATGCAGACGATGCAGCAGGAGATCAGAAGACTTGCTCATGGCCAAGCCGACCTCCAGCAGAAACTCCGAGACCAACAAGCGCAAGTCAGCGTCATGGAGTCGTCTACCCCTACTATGCGAGAGTATTTGGCATTTGTGGTCCAAAAACAAGATATTGACGCAAGTGCCCTTCTCCCCCCGGCGGTTGACTCACCCGTGACCCTGTCACAACGTCTTTTGGCGCTCGAAGAGATTACCCGGTGTATTCAAGATCAAGATTTGGCTAGCCGTCCTCTGTCGGAGAAAATTGCAAGTCTAGAGACCTCCGTTTGGTTTCAGGAAGAAAAAATCACTGGAGCGACTCGCCGGATGGACCGTATTGAAGAGTCTGCCCACATGCATTGGAAGGAAACACAAGAAGATTTGCAGTCCATCTGAAGTGATCACCAGAGACTGGAAGCCGAGGTGAGGGAAGCCGTCAAGACACTGGAGAACAAGTGGGAGACTACACCAGCTGCGTTACAAGAGAGTCTCACCCAGGGCTTTGAGAAACTTGCAAGCCGCATCGAAACTGCCGAGCTAATGCTCCACGACCTCACCAAATCAGTCACTACTATTTCGGAGCTCAACCAATCAAGTCTGGAATCGCTCATTATCCAGTTCCTTGGCAACAAGGAGAAGAAGCACACTGGCATCAATACCGATCACTCAGTCTCACCCGACCGCGGTCAGAAAAGCCAGCAGGTACAAGTCTCCCCGACCCTGGGTGTCGTTCTGCCAAACCCAGTTTCAACCGATCACGCGCAAGTCTCTCCAACCCTGGCCGTCTTTCTGCCTCCAGCATCTGAGAGCCCAGCGGTCCTTCTGTTGGTGCCAAACCCAATTCCTCCAACCCGGGCAAGTTCGCCCGGTCCTTACATTGGGGGTAATAGGAAGTCACCTCGGCTACAGAAACTCGAACCCACACTTCAAACCCCCGCACAGAGTAAGTCTTCTACTTGGTGAGGATTCAAAAATCTGACTGCCAGCAAGTTACAAACAATGATGTCCAAACTGTCCAAACTCCGTCTACTTAATAGTTAGTAGCATACATGTATATTTTTTGGACAATCTTCAATTTTTTTTTGGGCATATTTAATATGAAGTCCTGTGGTGGACATAATAATGAAAGCAGTAAGGCCTCGGCTTCTTTCACGACCCAGTAAACTGTGACCGGCAGAGAAAAGCAGGGGGATCTTGGAGCAACTTTGTCCAATGGAGACTGGCATAGTAACAGCTTGGCGTTTATTTCAGGCAGCCGAGTGCGGTTGTTTGAGCCAGACCCGTTCCAACATGGGTATGTTTACAAGAAACATTGGTCGGTATAAACTTGGTAGGGATTTTGAACCGGGGGTGTGCATAATATATCTCACTGCCTTGTGAACGTCACCGTGCTCGGCTTCTTGGGAAGTCATGGACCCAGTAAACTGCATGACCGAATACTGGACCATGACCGGCAAAGAAAAGCCGAGGTAATGTTTGAGCAACTTGGCAAATAAAACCTGAGTGAAGACGAAACTCGGCCGTATAGTGTCAACTGGATGGGACCAGGTTGGGCTGATCCACGCTGCATGGGATTCAAAGCTCTTCAGCAGACCCATGACACATGAGCCCATTCCATGAAGAGACGGGTTGACCCAGGATCCAAGGCATATTTAATTCATGGGGTACTAGCTGACTGACCATGTCACCGTGCTCGGCTTCTTGGTAGGTGATGGACCCGACCCAGTAAACTGCATGATGACCAGCAATGAAAAGCCGAGGTAAACTTGGCAAATAAAAATGAGACGGCTGTGGGCTGATCCACAATCCATGGGATTTAGAGCTCTTCAGCTGACCCATGACACATGTTGAGCCCAATCCATGAAGAGATCGGTTGACCCAGGATCCAAGGCATTTTTAGCTATGTCAATTCATGGGGTACACTTCTCAGCCGATGCACAGTACCAGTCCTAAGAGAGTCTTGATGGCCGGTCCACCTTTGATGGGGTCAACTGATCCATGGGCTCATCAGCAGGCACCATCAACTATGGTCTGTTTGTATGGTCGGGGGGCTCAGTATTAGTGGGGTAAGGTAACTAATACTTGTGTCTGTGAGGAGCCAAGGATGGGACGTCCACTTCCATCAATAGTTCGGATTCTTGGCTCTGTCCTATCGGCCACCCACAATTTAGGTTTGGCTAGTTTTCTGTCACCAACTGGAACTCACTTGGTTGAAGAGGGGGTAGAGCCGCAGCCGTTCCTAAGATATTGTTAGAACTGGTTAGCTGACAAGAGTAGATAAAACATACCATCCTTCATTTCTTGGTCTTTCATCACAGCTTCTGTTTATCTACATTAAGTAGACAATCCTTGGTGTGGAGTGGGGACAATACCTGGATTTGTTAAAGACATATCAGTCAGAGAGTAGATAGCTTTTCCTGGGATTGCACTGTGTGGTTGGTGATGAAGACACATTGTTTTTCTCTGTGGATCTCGGTTGAAGTGATGCCAACACGTGACCATGTTTACAACTTTGTAATTTTACATTCACCATTGTCCCATTCCGACATGCACATTCTCCTCAATTGTCCCATTCCCACTTACCATGTCTACTGCTGAACTTACTCAAGTGGCTCAACAGGCCCACACCCTCACTCCCGGATTCTTGGAGGATGTTAGGGTGGCCACCTCCACCCTTTTGAACTTTTACAAGTGTCACAGGGAAGGTCTTCTGGCTTACGAACGGACATTGGAAGATGATGCATATGGGAAAGCTGTGAGTGACTACCAATAATTTATTGATTGAAATTGGATCTCTTTCTCCTACAGGAATGACTTGTACATTTGCTCATAGACAAGAATATGTGGTATAACATGGCCCAGTGGCTCAACCACCCATGGATTTTGGCGTACATGGAAATGGCCTGAGCAGGACCATTGGTTGATTGGATCAAAGTGTTCTCGATCCCACAACCCACCACCCCTACCTTCTTTATGTTCCCCGATTGCAGGCCAGGTCCAGCGCCCAGCCATGATCAGAGGTGACTCCTGGCAACACCGCTGCCCCTCCACCTCAGTCCAAAGCAAAAAAAGAAAAGGGGACTCAATTGAAGCCAGGCCAAAAGACTAGAATCATGAGTGCAGAGTACATCAGCAGCAGCAGTGAGGAGGAACCAGTTAAGCTGAAGTCATAGCTGAGGAATCCAAGATTGATGTTGAGTTTGATGATGCCCTGAATATCAAAGAAGTTACAACTGCAGCCTTTTCACTGTTAGGTGAAAATGGAATCATCTGTGCTTCAGACAACCATGCATGTAATGAGTGTACTCAGAAACACAGAAAGACTAGTGATGTTGTTGATGTAGTTTTCGATGATCCAGCAGCAGTTGTTGGTGTTGATGCAACAGATGATGATATACCTGCATTGGTCACAGCTCATGAGGAACCAGAAGTTGATCTACATCAAGGTGATGAGATGAATATTGATAATATTCGTGATACCAATTTGGTTACTCTTGATGGTGTTGTAATGGGCCCTCAGGTAAATGAATTGATGATATTCTAGAAACTCTATTAATCATAATTGTTTGACAGTGTTGTACTTATGATGACTGTTCAAATGATCTCTCTCATGCTCGAGGTGGATCTTTATGTGACATACATCACAATATGCTTGCTTCACGATGCTTAGTTCAGGATTGTCATAATCAGAGAGTTCAAGGTACACTTGCCTGTCAGGAACATCAACTACAATGGAAGAAACATTCTAAAAACAGCAACCGCAAAAATCAATCTGGAGTTCGTAGAATGTTACAAAGGCCTGCAGAGAATCATCCTTGGCAACCTAACCGTAGAGGGGCAAATCCACAACAACATGATGATCTAAATGCTGATCCACCTCACTCAAAAAACTACTTTAGTCCAGATCAGTTTTATTGTGTTGAAACTATTTGTGCTCCTTGTGGGGTGGTTATTGCCTGGACTAAATTTGACAAGTCAGAATCACCAACAAATATACTAAACTTCTTGGGATCAGTATATCCAACTGAAGAGTCATGGCCTGCCTATATCTGCATTGACAAAGCCTGCCAAGTTCTTCAAACTGCAGTGGCTAATGGAAGCTGGGAGATCTGGAAAAAAACCACCAGATTTATTGTTGATTCTTATCATTACATCAATCACCGAGTGACAGATTATCTCTGCCGAAAATACTGTAATCCATCACCAGGAGATGGATCTGCTCCAAATCTGGTAGTTATGGCCTTTGACAAAAAAGGGAATCCATATGTAAAACGGGCATTCAATACACAGGTATCTATCATTCAATTCTATACTGATTTTCCGGCCACTAAGATCAATATTTAAGGTTTGTGAACAGCTCAATGCATGGCTTGGTGGATATCAATCAATTCTCAAATGCATGACCCCAGGCAACTTTAACTGGTTTTTGCACTCTATGTTATTTTATCATACCAAATATGTTCTCCGAAAACAGCTGGTGAAGAAAAAGAGAGAAGAAGATGCAGAGGAACTGAAGAGACAGCAGGAAGAGGATGCTGAAGAAGAGGAAGGCTTGGGATTGGATGAGGAAATTGTAGAAGAGGATGAAGAGGATGAGTAAACCCTAAATAAATGTAAAAATAGCAAGGAAAGACAAGAGAAGTGTATATAGTTCTGTAAAAAATAGCAAGGGAAGAAGAGAGAAGTGTATATAGTTGTGTAAATGTACAATATGATGCTTATTGTGTGTCTATTCCACTGGAATGAAGTCTTTATTAAGCCCTTGGCTCCAAAATATTCATTCCTGTCTATTCCTGTGCCATTCCTGTGGATTCCACTGGAATCCAGTGGAATGCCTTCATTCCTGCAGGAATCAGTGGGGCATGATGAAGTACTGAGATAAGGGATGGATGATGTGCCTGGATGCACAATGGATAATGTGCCTGGACGCAGTTGGTAACTTTCTTTGTTTCATAATATTTCACAGATTTGAAGACTGACTACCTATCTACAGACAAAGGAATCAAGGATGACAATTTCCTTGGACATTTGTGGACCCAAATCCTTGGTATGGCATTGGAATACTCTATGATTGCTATCAGTCTATCAGTCACGCCGAAGAAGCCTTCTCTTGTGTTCTTCATATACAGTTGAGTGCAAAAAGAATGAAGGTTGGTTCATTTTTCTGGTTCTTTCTAAGAATCTATTGTACCTCAAATGTATTTGTGTATTCTTTTACATTATGTAGTTGTGTTATGCTTCCCTTGGTATGGACTAATTTCAGTGAAAGCTGGAGCTTTGAGAAGGTTTTTATTCTGGAGGCCATTTTTGGCATCTGAAAAAAAAAATATGCGCTAACTGGGGAGGTGGCCAGAACATACCTCTGGTCAACCTGAATGAGCCTATCAAAGAATCAGTCAAAAATACTGAGTGGTTAAGTCTGTAGAGGCTTTGGAAAATGGCTAGTTTTGTCTAAAACAGGCCAAAAATGACCAAAATAGCACAAAATGACCTTTTTCTGGAGGCTCTACAAGCATAACCACTCAGTATTTTTAACTAATTCTTTGATAGGCTCATTCAGGTTGACCAGAGGTATGTTCTGGCTACCTCCCCAGTTAGTGCATATTTTTTTTTCAGATGCCAAAAATGGCCTCCAGAATAAAAACCTTCTCAAGGCTCCAGCTTTCACTGAAATTAGTCCATACCAAGAGAAGTGTAACACAACTACATAATTTAAAAGAATATACAAATACATTTGAGGTACAATAGATTCTTAGAAAGAACCAGAAAAATGAACCAATCTTCATTCTTTTTGCACTCAACTGTAGATAAAGGTCAGCCTTACTTACTCCATCGTTATTAACCTTGTGTCCATTTTGCTTTCCCAGCAGATTCCTCATGCCCTTTGCAAGTTTCTCAATTGAGGCTGGTGTGGACAATGCGACAACAATGTGGGTGGAGGATTGAAGGATGATGAACTCAGTATGTCAATCATTCTTCAAATAATTTCTGTGGTACTAACATTCATGTAAAGCATCAATAACGACAAGGACCCTGCTAAACTGGAAGCAGCCACTCCTCAACAGCTCCCTGATTGAGAGGGTGTCCTTGTCTTACTCATACAAGCAATCACGTTCGACATTTTAGGCTGTTAATGTGTCAAGTTAGGTATCTGTAGCGTGTTAGTAGACAAGACATTCAATTAGACAGCGATCAAAACAACTGTTACATGAATTCCAATAGAAACACACGCTGTAATGCCTTAAGTTAGATCTGTGATGTGTTAGTAGAGGAGACATTCAGTTAGACACCCATTGAATTAATTGTTAATAGAAACATGTGCTAATGGCATGTGAGGTGCTACTTCCAAGCTATGGTTCTGTATAAAATACTAAACAACAGCTCTATCACTGTAAATCACCCAGCTTCCTTGCTTAATGGCCTGAGGTAGAGGCAGAAAACCAACACAGCAGCCAGCACCTTGTACAGGTGGCTGTAGAGCAGCACCAGTCAAATTTTGTGAGGATCCTGGTTCTGGAGAAGAATTCTACTTCACCGGCATGGACAAACATTCTCCCAATGGAGATGTACCAGATGCACCACGACCAGTCTCTCCTCCCATTAGTGTTGAGCGCTGGCTCTGCTACCTCCACTCGACCTCCAACACCTTCAGAACAACCCTCATTATCTTCATGGAGCCGAACAGCCCCTGATATCAATTTTTTCTATGAACGCAGATCAAAGTTTGCCCCAGTGACCAGAACTCTATCCAAGACATGCAAGTATGTGGCCTTCCATAGTTCGACAACTCCTGTTGCTTTTATGTGAGGACCTCAAGGACAAAGACATTCCCCACCGAACAAAGATGCACAAACTTATTATCAAGGCATGGGAGGCGTATTTCAAGGACCTAAAACAGGAATTAGCTGTATGTTGTTTCAGTTGACCATTTTGTTTCCTTGTATTCACCAATTACTCTAGGATGCACCAGGACAAATTTCATACATGGGGGATATCTGGCCAACAAAAGCTCAGTACCCATACCTGGCCATTACCACACATTGGATACATAGAGACAAGTCTACCAAAGGTCTTCAGCTGTGTTCTGCACTAATCGCATTTCACTGTCTTTGAGGAAGCCACAACAGGAACAGGCTAGCAAGGATTGTACTCCATCTCTTGGATCAAGTTGGGATCACGGTCAAGGCATGTCTATGTTTCATTTTCTTACCCCTTCCTACTTCATGCTTATTTGGACAGGGAGGCCATTGGACCCTCAATAACTGCTCACTCAATGATGCCTTCCTGACAGAACTCGAGATACTTCTACGCTCTCATGAGGTTGAGTTCAATCACAAGGAAAATCATATATGATGTTTCCCACACATTACCAACATATGTTCAACTCATGTTATTGAAGCCTTTACTAACATCGCCCTGGTAGATGATACAGGGGAATTTATTGCATCTGCATCAGGCCCTACAAGCAATCCTGATAATCAGACTTATGAAGAAGCGGTTGTTCACGACCCAATTGCATTGTGTCAGAGTACCATATGAGCAGTATGTGCCTCAGGTCATTGATGTGAGCACCTGGCAGAAGTAATAGATGATGGAAACAAGAAAGGGTAGTTCAAGTCAACTGAGGATCCGACCGTGACCATACAAGTTAAGCCAGCACAACTTGTACATGACATGAAGGTTCAGTGGGACTCCCTTTATTTCATGATCAATCAGTTTCATAAACTATGCCTGGTCACTTTAGTCACCCATTTTTGGGTACCTATGAGGTACATCAATTCCTTGAAGACAAAAATACAATATCTTCCCAATCCCTGATCTGTCGCATCATAAGATCCACCTCGGCCTTGGCATGTTCAATCCTTTCCACAATGAGTTCCCGCGCTTTCTCCAATTGTGCTTTAAGCTGGCTGACATCCTCGGGTGATAGGTTTGACGTCTCAATGTTCGTTCGCACAAGTGGCAAAGCACCATCTTCAGCCCACTTATACCACTTGGCTGACTTGCTAAGCATGTAGTAGATTCCCTCCTTCGGATAGCTCTTAGGAGTCGTCCACCATGGAAACTCATATGAAGGCCAAATGGAATCTCTTCGAATCACCATGTCAGGGTGAAGTGGGTCATGCTGAATACAGCTTCTATGGAATGCGGGGACCTCAAACTGGGGCCAACATCAGCAAGAAAAATAGCCTTCAGGATGGCTTACCTCATGCCCATGAATGAAGGCCATTCCAATACTATCAATCATGAAGCCCTTTCCAAAGGAACAAGGTTAGTCGTGACTGGATCCAGAGAAATCATATGGCTCACCACTTCGGCCACATAATACTCATCCCATGAGATTTGGAACTCGGGCTCGATAGGCTTTGCAAGCTTAGCTGTGTGAATGGCCCTAAACCGAGATGACCAGTAGTCGAGCACTTCCTGGAACTCTTGTGGGTTCTCCCACAGGAGACGTTTACCAAAATGTGCGTCAAACTTTTGACCTTGAATCATATCCTTCATCCAGTCAATTTCAACCTGCAGCACAGGGGTACTGGTGTAGAGAGTACTGGTGTAGAAGACATGGTAGTGTTGGATAAAGATGGATGATAATCTAATTCAACCAAGATTAGGTAATGCAATAGACTGGCACATGACACTGGCATTTATAAATTCTTTGGTGGCCTGGAAGGCAAGCTCTTTCCACATACTGATATGTCCCTCCGCGAAGGAAACATGTCCCGGCTTGTCTGGCACCAAGTCCCTCAGCCTGGCCCACTCCTTGGCTTTGTTGATGAAAAAGAGCCGGGTCCAGTTCATTTCGTTTGGGATCAAGGTATGCTCTTCCAACCATCGGTCATACCGAGCTTTTGCTCTAAGCCAATTCACCCGATATACTATTGGGTTGTCTTGTTTCAATTCATCTAGAGGAATAAAAGTGATTGGATCTGACCTTGTTCCATGTAAGTTGAACCCAACGAATCATCAGCCACGGCCATATTCCAGAACCATGGCAAAGCAATATTTCTTTGACCCCGGGTGTTGCCATCGTATACCGTAGTTAGTGCCCTTGTATCTTTTTTCCCTATTGGCTTGTATCAGTCACAAGTGCCCTGAGGAGCATTGAGCTGATTGAGAGCCCATCGAGCTTGGTTGTATGCCTGGAGAGCACTTTTCATATTGCGATCGGATCCTTGTACAGCATTGTAAGCCCGAGTTACATGTTTTTTTGATTTCTCTGATCGAACTCTCCTGCAGTAAAGGAATGACTTGTAACCGATGGCTTCCCATAAACGTTTGAGAGCGTTATTTGCCTGGGCCACTCTCAATTCTATCTCTACGCACCGGGCTTCTCCCAGTGATGTAGGCAGAAGGGCTGATTGGAATGAGGATGGTAAGAGGATTTGTTGATGTTCGGCCGATCCATACCCCCGATCAGGCAAACTGGGTATGGGTACTGGCATCTCCTCTCCATCACAATCGCTCCAGTCATCGTCATCCATGATCTCCTCTGAGTATTATAATTATGTATGAATCCAACACACGAGGAATGTGGGACATGGAACAAGGTCAGTGCCCAACAACACCCATGACATGGCAACGTCATGGGCCAATGGTATGTGTACCACCACCCCATCACTCCGTTCTCACCACGACAGGCGCCGATGACTCCAGGACAATGGCATGGCGACCCAGCGCCACCCATGACACGATGGAGGTCTTTACCTTCCCTGGGTTATTCCGTATGGAATCCATGGAATCCATGTTGGCTGAGGACCCAGCCATTTTCTTATTCCATAGACCTCATGGATTCCATATGGAATGACCATGGAATGGTCATGGAATGATTAATTCCATATGGACTCCAACACCACTCCATATGGATTCCATTGGATTGCACATGGAATGCAGGCATATCCACCTTGGATTCCATGGAGCAGTCCACATGGATTCCATGGATGACCATTATACCATTAGAATACAGTATTTATAGTGTCCTTACTATATTTAAGTAAAAATAGAAATTTTACATCTACAGGAATTGAATTCTCAACCTCGTCAATATTAGCAGTGCTCAAACCAACTGAGCCACAAAGGCATTATTATATGGTAAAGTAAAGGTATGTATATACCGCCTTTTGTCACGTGGTGTCTCAA